AGGCGAGGCGAGGCGAGGCGAGGCTAAAGGTCTATCGGCTCGGCTTGGCAAAGAAAAAAAAAAGAAAAAAAAAATTAGCCGAGCCAAGCCAAGCCGAGCCGAGCCGGCTCCTTAGGAATAGTGCTCAGAAATAGTGGCTATGAGTAGTGAAAACTCCTTCACTCTTTTAATATAGGTAGATTTAACGTAGCTTTAAAAATGTGAACTATTGGAAGTAGATTAAGAAATGGGAAAATTATCTAAATAAGAAGTTAACTATGACCTATTTCAAAACTAAGAAAACATGTTTTAAATTTCAAAAATCAGATTTTTATTAAAATTTATTTATGATTTAATTAATTAAACATATTAAAGTCACAGATTTATACGATATGCTCACAAATTCACAATTTTGTTAGTCACATATATTTTTCGATCAATTTTTTACCTCATAAATTATTTTACGGTCACAGATCAAAATATTTGTAGGTTACAGATTATTTATAGGTTACAAATCTAAAATTTCATAGGTCCGATTTGTTTATCAATCATAGATCAAAAATTTTGTAGGTCACATATAATTTCGAGGTAAAAAAAAAATTATAGGTGACAAATTATTTTATTAGTCATAGATAAAGAAATTACAGTTCATAGTTTATCTATCAGTCACATATTTTCAAATTTATTGGTCACAAATTAGTTTTTAGTCACAAATTGTCAAATTTTAAGGTCATAGTTAGTCCAAATAGTTGATCACATACACCAAACACCCCACCATCAATCCTGGTCCACCACTAATATTGATCACGAATCACCACCAAACAACTGCGCCTGCACCACATCCACCACATCCACCACACCACCGCAACCACCAAACCATTGCTTGCACCGCACCACCACCATCAACAAAAAAAAAATTGCCTCCACTGCCTGCAAGTCGGCACCACCTCACCGTCATACCGCCACCACTACAAACACCAAACCTACAAATCTACCAAAAAAAGATCACAAAACCGCTACGACCACCGCCAGATCTACCCAAAAAAAGATACAAAATCGCCACCAATCACACCAATGGACCACAACCACCAAATTTGCCACCGCCATCCGCTCCCACCGCCACGGCCTCAGCCCCGTCACCGTCAACACTACCACACCACCGCCACCAGATCGCACCAACAGACCACCCATCAACCCTAAATTTCTATCCCCGAACATCCCCAAATTTCAATCCCCGAATGAGTGACGAACGGTGTTGCGAAAACATCGCAGTAAGGTGTTGCTGCTACTACCAGTAGCGGCACCTTGCTTTGTAGTTGCAGATGTTGACAAGCTGCTCATAGCTTCATCGTCGGCGCCAACAGCGGCACCTTGCTTCGTCGTTGCATCTACAGTGACGATGCGCTGCAGCCCGCACCTGTTGCCGATGACGCGCCTCAACGCCGGAGCTGTGTTGCCGACGAAGGGTTGGTGTAGGTTGACACAGTGAAGGGATG